ATATTTTATTATAATATAAATTTAAATATTTTTTATATATATTTTATAATATATCTTACATTTCTTACAAAACTATTTCTTATGCAAAAAATTTTATCCAATTTTTATAAATTATTATTTTATTTATTTTTTACTTTTTTATATAATAAATATATTTTTCTTTTTTTCTTGAATTCGATATAATGGGAATAATTTCTTCCTTTAATAATTAATTATTAGTATTTTTATATTATTAATATTAGTAATTATTAGTATTAATATTTTGTAATTTTTATTATATGTTGTCATTAATGTAACAAATTTTTATTCTTAAGCATATATTTTTTATTGTATTTTTTAAATTCGAGAAATAATCTTTTTTTTCTAAAATAATTTCATAATAATAGAATTTATTCATTAAGTACGGATCATGTGTAATTATAAATTATCATAGATTATGAATTTATTATTTGAATCGCGTTCGTAATGGAATAAAAATGTCCATAGAATCTTTTTTATAAATAATGTTGAGTACGAATAATTTTTAAACTTATATTACAAAATTTCATTTATATGTTTAAAAAATTAAACAATTTAAAAAATAAAAAGATTATATTAATCAATAAAACTAATCCATGACAAGAACAAAAATGTATCGAGAAATATAGTCAGGCTAATAGTAATTAATTATTTAATTTGTTGTTCAAAAATGATATGATTTTTAAAAATTATTTTTTAATTGAGCAAAAGCTTGAAAAACTTTAAATTGAATATTTTTTATTGTTTTTTTTCTTTTGATTACATATCAATATAATAGTATGTATAATAATAGGAATTAATAATTTTTTTCGTTATTTTAAACATTTTCGCAAAATTGTATTAATAAAAACATATTGATCCTCATAATCATTGTTCATATTTATAATATATAATAGAATTATTTCAAACTTATTATCTAATAATATTTTCATTACATAATATTCTTGTGATAAATTTCATTTCTCGAATTTCATGTATGATTCTGATTATAACGATCTTTTATTTTTCTATGCAAAAAATGTAAGATTATTTTGCCTATACTACTATCTTTTTTTTTTTTATTAAAACTTTTTTATAAAAACTTTGATTTTTCTGAAATTTATTTTTAATTGACTTTAATTATATCAATAAATATTTTATTTTTAATAACTTTTCTATTACAAATATTAATGTAATATCAATAAATATAACTTTATTTCATTGAAAACTTTTTCTAATAATTTTTTATATAAATATATAACTTCGGTATTTACTGGAAAATCAATGATGAATGATATATTTATTATTGATGATTATAATATATTATTATTTAAATGTTGCGTTACAATAGGAAAATATCAAAAAAAAAAAAAAATTTAAACGATTAGTGTATATTCTATTAGATTTATTTAGATTATAAACGATATTCGCGCTTTAAATTGAACGACAAATTGGTTAACAAAAATTTCCTGATCAGATATGGAATTTATAAAATTTTAAATATATTCCATATAATTATTAATCTTTTAAGTAAGATCTATATCTTAAGTTCGCGATTCAGATGACAAAAATATATATTATAACTATAAATAATTTTAATTCATTAGTCTGAGAGTTCAATGATTTATTTCGTGGTGATGAGCAAATTTTAAAAAAGAAAGAAAATTGATTAATATGTTATAAATGCGTATTATACGAAATGTACAAAAATCATTTAAATAGATATTTAATGAATAGATATTGAAAAGAGATAGAAATGGATTGCGATTAATTAATTAGCTTTATGTATTATATTGTTTAGTTAGTTAGTTAGTTAATTAACTACATCATTATTAACGACTTGTTTGTTATGTTCTTATAGAAAATAATTAAAGGAAATCTCATCTTATTTAAATTCGTTAAAATTAATAAAAAATTGTTTAAATTAAATAAATTGATTAGTACGATATTGAGCATTATAGAGAATTACTTATTCTATTTATAAATATAAATTATTAATTCTTAGAAAGATTTTATGAGAATGTTGCTATTAAGATTCAAATAATGAGCAATATTATTTATATTATAATTTATATTATAAATCATTATAAATTTACATTATAAAAATTACATATTACCATAAAATTTAATATTTTCTGTTATATATAAAAAGATACAGATATAAAATATTAATAAAATATATTTATTATTTTAATTTTGATTTGTTTAATTTATTCATATTTATATTTATATGATTTGAGAAATAAATAAATACGAAAAATCTTTTTTTCTTTATGTTTTTTTGTTTATGTTTATATTTTAGGAAAATTAAAATAGATATATAAAGATATAAGAGAATTTAGCATATGATAATTTTTTTTTAAATTGAAATTAATTAAAAAATTAAAAAATTAAATAGAGCCAACATGATTCAATATTAAGATTCAATATATTTAAGATTATATTTAATTTAATTTGAGTAAATAATTTAAATAATTAATAATTTGAATAATGAAATAATTAATTTGAGTAAATATATTTTATTTAATTAGAAAAGATATTACATTTAAAAAGAATTCATAAATTTTGAAAAATTAATAAAAAAAATTATTTATGCAAATATATAGTTTTTATTGTTCTTTTTCTTTAATTTTTAATAATAAAATAATAAAAA